AGTCCTTTAATACATATGAATGAACAGTTCACCCATATCTCAAGAAAACAGAGTGATGCAAATGTAACCCCACTTTTTTGAAGAAGAAGCAATCTTAAATCTTAAAACTATTGTCCAATATTTTTAACTTTCATTGTTGCAAGATCTTGCAATAGATTGTAACTGACAAGTTAATTAACTATTTAGATTCCAATGAACCTTTGATTATCTGTCAACATAGTTTTAGAAAAGGGAGGGGCTGTTCAACAAATCTGATAAAGTAAAATATACTAAAAACAGACATTAGAAAACTAATGAAAATAATAGCTGAAAATTGGACTTTTTAGGCAAGTAGAAATTTTGCTTTTAGATATATCTGAATTCTAAACTGCAACAAGCTGCCTATATTTTGTCCATGTATTGCAGACAGTAGTAACTAATCAGAAAACGTATCTGTAAAGACTTGTGGATAAATATAATAAGGGTACAGTTAATTTCATTTGGCATATTTTAGCAATTTTAGGTTTTTTTCCGAAGTTGAGGAGCTCATAAATTTTTTCTAATTTAACACAAGTTAATAAAAACCACTTTTTTAAAAAGAGAACTATCCAGAAAATAGTTCTAGAAAAAATGAGACATGAGTTGAAAGTGAGAAAAAGGTTATGCAGCTCTAAATTAGTGTGTTTCGATCATTTGTAAATTGAGGAGGGCAACTGTACCATGTTTCTGAGGCTATAGTTTCTGATCCATTGTACTTGGAAGTCTGAAATTTCGAATTTAACCTATCTACATAATGCACATAACAATATGTAAAATTCAGAAAAATCAGAAGTGGTTACCACAAAGTTTTCTTCAAATTGTTTAAAATATAATGATTTAACCCAGTTTTGTGAAGTTTCTTTCTAGAAATATATATAGACATAGATACTTTTTTGAAAGAAGAAAAGCTAATCTTGATTTTTTAAAGACTTTTATGTATGGTTACTAAACTTTTTTATAGAATATTTTGCTCCTGAATATTAGGATAATGTTATAGAATTTTTTTTTTTCGGTAAGCGAAATCCGAGAAGGACCAAAATCCGGGTAAGGGGCGATTAAAAAAAAATCTTATTTTGAACTATTTTGATTTATATTATTAGATTTAATTTAATATAAACAAGCTTAATAAAACTGTCCAAGATACACTAATAGATAGTAAGTTCAATTTTTTTTAATAATATTAACAACTATTTTCAATAATAATATTAACAACTATTTTCAAACCCAAAAAATAATGATTAATGTAAAACCTTAATTGTTTTTTATGTAACATATAAAAAAAGTTGTTAGACCCTAATGAAGACACAGACGATCGAAGATACACTTCTTATATCTAAAAGTGGAATGGAAGCAAATTGTAACAACATTTTGTGTATAAAGATTTTTATGTATAAAAATTTAATCTAAAAAACACTTTTTCATTGAAAATATGTATTTTTTTTAGGAATACAATGGTGTTTTGGAACTCCCTCTGGCCCTTTTAGATATGCCTAATATCTATAGATTAATAAAACCTTGTAGCCTACTCTTACATCTATCTTTTGATATTATGTTATAGGCATTTGGATAATATTTAACAAAGTTGTAACAAATAAAATAGGGAAAAAAAAAAATTGGCACTAGTTTCTTCAACAAATCTAAAATATGCTACTAAAAATGTCATAACTTTTTTATGAATTATTCGTTTTTGATAACTTTTTCACTTTTAAATTACTGTATTGAAGGGCTTTTTAATGATATATAATATTCTAGTATATAAATTTTATTCCACGTACCTAGTATGAGTATTTAAATTTAAACTAGTATTATTTGCAACATACTGATTATATAAATAACAATATTATTCTTTACACTTGCTGAAGTGTACTAATATTCAAAAAAGTGTTACAAAGTCATTCTACTTAACATTAAATTTTTTAATGCATTACACTTATATAGGGATGGTGATTGTAAATTTACTCTAAGTACATACGAATTATATTTCTAAGCAGAAATAATATATACATTGATATTTGTATTAATTTTCGATCTCTTTTAAGACTTAAAATACAATAAAAAATTATCAAAGTTGATTTAAATATTTAAAATATTTTTTTTAATTTTGTATGTATCTATATCTAAATTGAATACACCATTGAATTTGTAAACAAACGGCTATAATTTTATCTACTTAATAACAACTATTTCAGTGATAGATTAATTCTTTAATTTTAATCAAAGTTAAAACAGTTCAAATTTATTGTTGATTTATTGTCCATTCTTGAGCATACAACAATATCGTTAACTTTTAAAACAATCCAAACTATCAAGTGAAAACACTAGTACCTCTTTCTTGTGCATCTTCAAATTTTAAAAATAAAATTCTTGATTCCTTAGCTCCCATTTAATCTTGCATATATTTATATAACTATATTATTGAACTACATATAAAAGTTTAATAAAATAAAGTTTAAATATTTGTGAATAACCTTAACGAACAAATTATTTTATTAGCTACAAGTTAAAATTCTGCATAATCGAAAGTACACTGCGAACGAGTGCAGTAATCCAACTCCGTTATCCGATGCTTAGATTTTTATAAAACCGCGACATATATAATTTAAAGTTTTTTAAGAGCATTTGTCTGTAAAAGAATCAATCAATTTTGAAGAAAAAAAAACTGAATGTCACCAACTACGTTCATTATCACACTTGCTTTCTATAACTGGTGTAATGATAAAAACAAAATTATTTTTTTCTAAATACTTGGCGTTCGCCAATAGCAATAATTTGAACATCGAAAGAATTTTAATTTTAACCTTATATGTCTTACTTAAGATTTAAATTTAAGAACTTAAATCTTTAGGTCATACTTTAAAAAGCAATAACTGGCTAAATATTTATAGCCAACATTTTACATTAGCCAGCCACAAATTTATCAAAATATTAAAAAATTTATAATCAAAAGTTGTTCGTTGTCTAGAAATCATTATACAATAGTAGGGCTTGTTATGGGTCGGGGTCTCATTTTTTGAACCCGTCAGATCCGTTAACCAAACGGGTCGAGTATGGATCTTATAATGTCCAGACCCGGACTAACATTTTCTTAATATGTTTTCATTGTTATAATTTTCTTATATACTTTTTTCATTATATCTTGTTTAAAAGTAGGTGTATGCCGATGAAAAACAACAATGGTTTCTAAAATATTCAAAAAGGCTTATAAACCAGATTATAAACCCAATTTTATGCAGTCTTTTAAAAAAGATTTTTTTCTAGAAATGTGCGCTCGTGGTGCAATGGTTAGAGCGCTTGCTTTATAAGCAGGAGATCCAGGTTCGAAACAAGCTTTGGACATATTTTGCGTCACAGTAAGGAAGGAGGGGTAAACTTCCTGGTTAAATGCACTTTCGCGGTGCTCTGTGACAAGACCGTTAGAAACAAGACCTTGGAACACCTAAATAAAAAAAAAAATAGTTTAAAAAACTTCATTATTTCAAAGAAAAAGACTAAAGAAGTACATAAATTATAAAAGATTCAAAACCAATCTTCTTCTTTAAAATACCTTTTTTTTTATTTTATGTGTTTTTTACTAATGTCAGAGGTAGAAAACGCAAATGGTATCACTCCAATTATTGATATCGAACAGCCTCTCTCATCTGAGTTGAGAGTATTACCTAAAACTAAAAAGAGAAAATGCACTTTAAAACATTGGACGTCTTATAAAAAAGTTTTAGTCAATGATACTTCACGAATATCCTTTTTCAATTTTTGAACATTGGGGTTTTAGAGAGTATAGTAAAATCAATACTTTTTTTGATTAATGATTAGTCAACGTAAAACAATAAATGATTGTTTGAAAATCTTCGAGGATGAAAAAGAAAAGTTATATGGTATTTTCCATTACACTGAAATGGAAAAGCTACAATGTCGAACTAATTTCAAAAGTGATTTGTGGACGTCTACTCAAAATAAATCCTACATTTCCCTAACCTGCCATTATATTAAAAATTTTGTTGTTTAAAAATCAATTGAAAACATTAAACATATTAAAGTAAAAGTCAGAGAAAGCGTGAAACATGTCAAATTTTGAAAACTTTGAAAAATCGTGTCAAATCGATAACTTTGAAAAATCGTGTTAAATCGATAACTTTGAAATGGTAACAGTTTAAAGAAGTAGCATCCCAAGTACAAACTCCTAGTAATAATGTTGTTTTAGATGTAAAAACAAGATGGAACTCTACTTTTAATTAGTTCCGATATATTAGTCATTGCACCCGCGTTATAAAATGATGAGCGATGAGTACTACTTTGGGGACAATTATGGTGCCGCAAGTGAACGGAAGTTAGAAAATATTAATGGACTATTAATGGATAAAGAAAAGTTTTCAAATCAGTCTACTTCATCTGCTTCTTTTTTATATTCAAAAACGATTCAAAAAAAATGTAGCCTTAAAATCTTCTTCTTTGAAACTAAAAAAAACTACAGTTGTACTTAGATGAGCCATTGATTGTTGATCAAAAAGGATTTGACATACTGGAATGGTGGAGACATGTTAGAGTCAGATTTCCAGATGTACAATGTTTAGCAAGAGATATTTTGTCGCTTCCGTTGTCTACTGTTGCTTCTGAGTCAGTCTTTAGCACACGTAGTAGAGTTCTTGATAAATATCGTAGTTCTAAGATTCCAAGCACATTGGAAGCCATTGTATATTCACAAGATTGGTTAAAACCTGAACTTCCAGGTTTTTCAGTTTAAATTCTTTAATTTTAAGTTACTTTAATTTAATTACTAATTTTAATTTTTTAATTAAAAGAAAAAAAAACGGTACTGCAATCTCCATTATTAAAAATAAAAACGAAGCTGCTCTAATTAATTAAGAAAAAAAGAAAAATACACGTAAACTTTGTCAATATGAAGACTTGTGCAAGATTTTGTTCGGAATTTACATAAAGTCTAACACTGTTATTAATAAAATTATTGCTATCTATCGTTATTGTAAAATCATTTATTTCTGAAAACGTTTTCTGTTATTATTTTCATACACCGTCATCTTAAATTATAATTTAATTAAAAAAATATGGACCCAACCACGTTAAAAGTATTTTTCTAACAAAAACACGTATGTCTTTTGATATTGTATATGAAAAAAGAGCGTTAAAAGTCTTTGAACGTGGTTGGGTCTTGGATTTTAGCTATTATAATAGTGTTATTATAGGAGGGGTTTTGGTACATACATTGGTAATAAAAAAAGTCCATACATTAGTAATAAATAAGGGCTTTTGATTGTTGGCCTGTGGGTTTCAAATAGTGACCAAAATCTTTCATCTTCGAGCGTGAATGCTATATTAGAGGGCCTAAAACGGAAGAGCTCCCATTCTAGGGTCTTATCATTACAAGACCTTCAGTTTGAAACCCACTCTTGATTTAAACGTGACTCAAACGTTAAAGAAAAACAAAAATGGTTACTTAAAGAAAGTGGAGTGATCAGATAAATATGTACAACTACAACCTAAGCTGTATATTAACGTGGTGCATTTAACGTGGTGCAAAGTTGCAAATATAAGTATTGAAAGATTTTTTCGGATTTTTGAGTACGAGCAACACTAAAAAAGCATCTCGCATGAGGTATCAGTTCATAAAGCATACTAAGCAGGGTCTTCTCAAACTAATATAGACAATATGGAAAATAAAGAAAAAGTAAGCCACAAAGGTCTTTTTGTAAATTTATTTCTTACTATATTTGAAAATTATTCAATATCATTTTCCTGAATTCAATTAAGTTAACAATTTAGGCAATCCTATTGGTCAAAAGAAAAAAAGACATTCAACGAATTCTAACATCAACAAAATATTATGTAGTTAGATTATAACTCAGTACTTAAGTATTTTTATTAAACAATTTCAGTATTGTAGCCCGACAAAAAATTTTAATGTGGGCCATGTATGGCATTTGCATGCTAACCATATGCTTACCACTCTCCTTTATGGGATGGCTTTGAGGCATCCCATATGCGGCTATAATGTTTATCCCACTAAAACCATACTAAATAAGGACGAACGCCACTCTTCATTTGGGCGTGAAAGTTTCATGTGGCCCACGTGTAAGAAGCACATGTTAGCCATAATTTACCACACTGTTGAATTATTATATCTTTTTTTTTTAACCAACTAACTAGGGACACCTGCTGCTAAAACCAGACTTACACAGGGTCTTACTAGAAGGCCGGTGTTATTAAGGAGCCGAGACTCTATATTATGGCCCATTTAAGGGTTTTAGGTTTGGCCCATTTAAGGGTTTAGTTGTCACTCAGCCAAAACTGAGCAGCGCCCACTTAAGGGTTTATCTCCATTTAAAGTCCGGAGTGGACGGATTGCCTTGAGATTTCCGGACGTAGAAGGAGACACTTAAAAAGCGACTACGCCAAGAACCTCTATCGACTGTCACGGATTCGATCTTGTGCTGTTTCCGAAATAAGAACAGATACTACACTTGATCTTAGCAAGATATCAACGCAAGTTAGCAATGATGATTATTTATAGTTATGCCGATCCAAAATTCTTGGTTGATGTTTTAAAAACATTTCGCTTGTAGGTTTATAAAACCATAAAGCGCATCCATAATTTTAAACTTTTTAAAGATCATTCAATTTATTTAAGAACGGGATTTTAAAGTAACTTAATTAAACTTGTAAGAATGTACTCCAGTAGTTCATCATCAAAAAACTAATTTTATGTAACTTTAAACCATAAACTAACTTTATGTACCATTAAACCATAAAACTTTAATATGCAAAATATGAAAGTTGCAATTCCCGATTCTGTTATGCTAATGTTGCAACTTATTTAGCTTTAAATAAATACTTAACAAACAAAAAGCTCTGATATATATTTTTTAATTTGAAACCAAAAGCTTTTTTTCTTGGGGGGATTTTTTCCGGGGGGATTTTTTCTTAGAACCTATCTTTTTAGTTCAAAAAATTTAAATTAATGCAGAAAATATAATACGCCTCAATTAAAAAGTGTGATTGTTTGTTTACCTATACTTATTTTTAGTGACGCATAAATCATTGGCAGTCCCCACCTTAACTTATGGTATGGAGCTATGTGAAAATAATCGTGGTCTGATGAAAAAGCTAGATATAATTGGAAGGAGTGCGCTAAAATCGTTTTTAAATGTTTCGAAACATAGTAAAAACTATATGAATTCGTTATTTAAAATCCAAGAAATTTCAAAAAGTGTTCAACAAAATAAGTTAAACTTGTTCCTTCGACTTCTTAATAACAAAACAACTGCAGACATTATCTTTTCACAACTGCAACACCCGTTATTTCAACATTCGTTTGTTAGTGATATTCAGGAACTATGCCGTCTTCAGATATTAAATTTTCAAAACCTAATTCAAAATAAAAAGAAGGTAAAAATACCACTTTCTAAAAGTAAAATTCCTTCCGAAGTTGAACGAAACTTGAAGTATGCAATAGAGTGCTGGAATGCAAAA